TACTTTTTTGGATTATCTCTGCCAGTTTCTGGTGTTTTTTGATGTAGATAATTGAGAGATGACTAAATGTAGGCTTGGGTAGATTATGCTCTCTTAGGGCTGGAATCCCACATGGTCTTGTTGATGCTTCGCTGTTATTTCACATGGTTTTACTAGGACCTCCCTGACAGTATCTAGAAGATACAGAGCTTCTCTCTGACCCCACTGAGTGCTACTTATGCTGAGCTGCTGCAGGAGGCCAGTTTCTGTCTGGAGAGTGCAACATTGCTATCAATAATTTTGTTTTCTTCCTCTCACTCTCCCTCCCACTAGAGCTCAGATAGTCAGGTTTGCACATTGGCTACTGATAAGCTGATGACTTTAATCGGGTTGGGATCCGTGGGAATGATTTTAAGGTGGTAAGGAGAAATAGAGGGTGGAGAACAGGGATATGCTCAGGGTATGGTTGCTTAATGCTCAGAGGAGAGAGCCCTGGGCCTGGAAACAGGAAGACCTGAGTTCACATTTCAGATACTTACTAGCTGTGTGACCCTGGAGCAAGTCACTGAAGCTCTGTTTGCTTCAGTTTCCTCAACTGCAAGATGGGGATAATAATAGCCCCTAACTCCCAGACTACATGAGATCTTATTTGTAAAAATGCTTGGCACAGTGCCTGGCACCTAGTAGGTACTATCTAAATGCTTATATTCCCTTAGTGGAACAAGGTTGATGTCTTGACTTAGTGATCTATAGTCCACGGAAATAGAAGGGTAGAGGAAGAACAGCTATCAAGATTGATCAACCCATGGAAATGTCCCTTTATTTTTCAAGCAGTCCTCAAAGCTAGGATATCCTGCTAGTTTTCTGCCCAGCCTAATCGTTATTGGTAAAGAGGAGGGGGTAAATTCAGTGTCTCCAGGAATATCATTGCTACAGAGTGAGGAGGGGCATGATGATGTAAGGGAATATACCACTGCTGTAAAATGACATCTTGAACACAGAAATTATGTAAGACAAATGAGCATTTTTCAACACTTTCCATGTTCCTTTGTATGTTTACTCCTTCGGTTTGTTCTCATCCTTGGGGTACTTTGCCATTCTTATGGTAGATACCCTATCCAAGATTTCTCATTCTCTGACTTTACATAACTGATTCGGACTCTAGCTGATCACATACATATCTGATCTTGAAATATATGCTTAGGCCAAGGGCTCCATTAAGAAGTCGATAGACTCTTTTTGGTAACTGAAATTATACTGATTTGACCTGAAAACTTTATGAGAATTGACTATGTAGTTTATGCAAGCACATGTAAAATGATGTTAATAGTACAGTTGTGCCCCCCTAAGAAAATCCTGACCAGTTAAACCAGAATTATGGCATGTCTGATCTCAGAGGGAACTTAGAGAAAGATAATCTAGTCCAACCCTCTTATTTTATAGATGGGTAAACTGAGGCACATGTAAGGAAAATGGCTTGTCCAATGTTTCGCAGTGATCTAGTTGAGATTTTCTGACTCTCATCTAGTTCTTTTCTTCTAAACTACACTACCAGGAGAGATTATTTTAATTACCAAAGGACCATTGTTAAAAGCTTTTTTTTTTTACATATTTTTCTCCCTAAGGCTTGTTAGGTTTTGTTTAGAGATTATTTATTCCTTTGAAATGATAGAATAGTGGAATAGGAATTGGGATAGAAGCACATAGTAGGTACTATATAAATGCTTATATTCTCTTAGTGGAACAAGGTCGATGTCTTGACTTAGTGATCTATAGTCCATGGAAATAGAAGGATAGAGGAAGAACAGCTATCAAGACTGATCAACTCATGGAAATGTCCCTTTATTTTTCAAGCAGTCCTCAAAGCTAGGATACCCTGCTAGTATTTCTGCCATTCTTATGGTAGATACCCTATCCAAGATTTCTTATTCTCTGACTTTACATAACTGATTTGGACTCTAGCTGATCACATATATATCTGGTCTTGAAATATATGCTTAGGCCAAGAGCTCCATTAAGAAGTCAACAGACTTTTTTTGGTAACTGAAATTATACTGAACATTTTAGGATAGGCATCGAGACTGGACCCCATGATTTCATTCTCAGAGGGAACTCTGGGATGAGGATATGCCCTCTATCAAAGCAGATCACCCAGCACCTGTCTTAGAAACATATGTTTCTGTCTTAGAAAGTTGCCTGGGAGTACTGAGAATTGACTTGCTCAGCTCACACAGTCAGTATGTGTCAGAGGTAACCCAGGTCTTGCTGACTTCAAGGACAGCTCTCTATCCCTTAGGTCACACTGCTCCTAAAGTGTTAGGAAATACTGACAATTAAAGATCAATATGAAATATGGATATTTCCATGCATCTGTGATCTCATTGATAGGGGTATTCCCTTCACTGATGCAGATAATAACCATTGATGCTTTCTTATCCCATGTGACTCTTTTCTAAATCCTTCTATAAATCCTCCTCAGGGAATTCATACAATTTTCTGGGGGTCCTTTCTCCAGATCTCTTGACATTGCCTGGATACAAGTGAACAGTTGAATGAATGAAAAAAGTATTTTTTAACAGTTTACAACTAGGGGCAGGTAGGTGGCACAGCGGATAGAGCACAAGCCCTGGAGTCAGGAGGACCTGAGTTCAAATTGGCTATGTGACCTTGGGCAAGTCACTTAAACTTGATTGCCTCAAGGGAAAAAAAGAGCTTACTAGGTGCAAAGCACTGTGCTAAGTTCTGGGGATAAAAACAGGAAAGCAGGTAGTCCCTGTTCTCAAGGAGCTCACACTTTAATGGGGAAGACAATATACATAGGGATTTTTAGATGTAAGTCAGATGGAAGGGTCCTGTGGTTCTTAGGGTACTGTGGGAAAGCAGATGGTAATGCATGTTCTTTTGTGTCATTTTGACTGACAAAATCACATCTTATGGTCATGTGGAACCATCAGATAGTGCTAAGGACTTGAGTGGTGAGAACTTTCTTTCCTAGATCTCCAGGGGCTATGGTTGCTGAGGAGGCAGGGCTGCACCCTCAGAAGCCGTTGCCAGGTCAAATGTCTACAAAGGTTGCTTCTGGGGATAATGACTGTGGAGAATGGACTAGAAGCAGTGTTGGTGACCTGGGGAATGCTGCAATTCAAGAGGCTCTTAGGCTTACCTGCCCATTAGTGGCAGGTGGTTAGCAATGAAGCATGCTGACTGTCCATTAGTTAGCTCTTGTTCTGGCTATAGGAGAAATCTATCTGCTTTTCTGGTTATATATCTTTGGGATGATATTCCTAACATCAGTGATGTCAAACTCAGTTAGAAATGGGATCCAATAAACCACACATAAGCTTTCTCACTGATTATATGTTCACTTAGAAAACCACTTAGAGCATTGTCTATGTTCTATGGTAGTGTATTTATTTTGCTAAATATTTCCCAATTATATTTTAATCTGATTCACCCTTCCACCTGTTTGTTCCCTATGCCTTACATCACATCTGCACAGTTCTAAGTTGGCAATATGCCACAGTCCACTCAAGTCTACCATCTACCTCTTTGCCCTCTGGATAACCTATAGTTTTAATGTTCCTTGTCTCAAGAAATCAAGACAGAGATGTAAAATTATCACATAATTTAGTATGAAAATATTATTCTTTTTTCATAAGAATGGGATTTACATGTAACTTTGCTGTGGCTTACCTATTATGTAAAATGAGGTACATCTGCATGAGAATTGTTGTATATGAACATTTAATGTGGCTCTAGAGAACATTATAGTCTTGTGTTTGGGGAGTTATATTCCTTTCTGTCCTTATTCTTAGCTAGATTTCTAGTCCTGTTAGGGCCAAACAAAGCAAACCATTTTCAGGTGGCTTGTGATGAGGCCATCCCAGGACAGAGATAGCTCGGAACTGGGATTGGGCAGCATAAGTGGTGCGGTGGATAGAGTGTTGGATCTGGAGGCAGGAAGACTTGAGTGTAAATCCTGACTTGGATAGTGAAGGGTGTGGCCTTGGGTAATTCTCTTAATCTTCAGTTTCCTGAACTGCAAAATGGGCATAATAATAGGACCAAGATCACAGGATTACTGTGAAAATTAGTATGAGATCATGCTCGTAAAGTTCTTTGAGAACCGCAGAGTACCATGATGATAGGTCCTTGAGAGGTATTCCTAGAAAGGGCTTCAAGGAAATGTGAGGTCAAGGGGATGTGCTCCACACCTGGTCATGGAATGGTCCTTAAATGATGCCATTTCCCCAGGCAGTGCCCCATATTCTAATGGACTTTATTAGGGTTGGCAGTTGATGGCAGATGGTGGAGGGGAAGTAAAAGATTAGCAAGTATAGAGAATGATGTCTGTCTTAAGAAGATGATGGAAAATGTTTACTACTCTCTGGTGGAAGACCTTATATGAGAGAATCCAGATCTTCTAGGAGGCAGTCAAGACATTTGGACTCAAAATCAAGAGTTATTCTGGATAGGGAAAAGGGACCTTTCTTGTTTTAGGTTCTTTGGTTCAGTCTTACACATCACACATGTTTTTAATGATGATTTTGTTTTTATGTTGGATGGTTCCCAAATGAAAGAATAGGTTTTTATTTGGTTTCTACTACATCTGGTGGCCACTTCACCAAATGACTCCATTGGTCTTTTTGACTTTTGGGATTGAGATGGTTGAGGGGACCCAAAGCGGGAACTTTCAGTTGCTGGACTCAGAGGCTGTGTGTTATCAAGCCAATGGCAAGAAAGGAATAAAGATTCCTTGGTCTCTGTTTCACCCATAATCCTGGTTCTAGTTACTATAGTACTTACTATCAAAGCTATCCTGTGATATTTATTTATTGTTATATCTTAGACACAACCCAACATGGACAGGAACTACTACAACAACCAAAAAAGACTTATAAGCTTCCAGGAAAGGCTGGATAGGGACTCAAGGTTGGGTCGGGGAGGAAGATGACTTGCTCTTTGAAAGTGAATACTTTTCTGAGCTGAACTAAGCTCTTACCTTTCATTCCTTCCCACAGACACATAGAGAACTGGCGGAGCTTGCATACACTCAATGCAGTGGACATGGAACTCTATACTGGACTTCAAAAGCTGTGAGTATAAACGGGTTTGTACTGAGGTCTTCCTTGGGTCCCTTTTTGGAGTTGAAGGGGAGGTGAGCTTTCCTGTCTTCCAAGGCTGAGAAATGCTTGCTAAGAAGTGATGTGGAAACTTTTGTTCTCTTGAACATATACCTTCTAGTTATAGATTCTTACAGCTAGAAGGGATTTTGGAGATCAACAGGTCAAATCCCCTAATATTAAAGAGGAGAAACCTAAGGCCCAGAGAGTATATGGGATTTGCTCAAGGTCATAAAACTAATAAATCACGGTCAGGATCAGATCTCTGATTTCCTGACTTCATGGCCAATGCTTTATCCATTATACTGTGATAAAAATAGTAATAATATAATAGTAACCAGCACTTTAAGGTCTACAAAGCACTTTACAAATATTGTCTCATTTTATTCTTCCAGCAACTCTGGGGTGGGTGGGTATTATTATTGTTATCCTCATTTTATGGATAAGGAAACTAAGGTAGAAAGCTGTTAAATGATTTGCCCAGGATATCACATCTAATTAGTGTCTCTGAGGTAGGATTTGAACTCAGGTCTTCTTGCCTTTAGGTCCAGTATTCTATCAACTGTGGCAACTAGTTTTCTGATGTCTACTTGCCTGCCTGTTGCCTATGAGTTATCCCATATGTCCTAGTGTTTTTTCTCTCTTTCTCTCCCGAGGGAGAAGGGGAGGACCTTTAGGAACTTTAAGAGACATTTACTGTTGGTGAGTGGGAGTGGTGCCCAGGAAGAGGCTTGATAATGAGATGTTTAGAGAAAGGGAGCATACTGGACAGGAACATATCAACCAGCAGAATTGAGCTAGGCCATTTAATCATTCACCCTGTGTCTCACTTCTTCCATGGAGTCCTTGCTTTCTACCTTCTGGGTGAAGTCCCTATCCATATCCAGTTTAATTTCTATCACTTCCTTTTGGGTGAGGGAGCACAGCTCCCTTTTATTCTTCTTATTTCCCTTAATAAATTCTTATAGACTGATTATCTATTCTAGCTCAATTCATTTATTCATCAAATATTTATTGAATACCTATTATAAGCTAGTCACTGCCATAAAGAGAATAAAGGGAATAAAGAAATGAATATGACTCAGTCCATGCACGCAAGGAGCTTACAATCCCATCTTTCCCATTAACCCAACATTAGCTGTATCTCAGATTTTTTGTTTCTCTTTGACCTCTCTTGACCTCCTTTTAATTTTTCCCCAGGACTATCAAGAACTCAGGACTTCGGAACATCCAGCCTAGGGCATTTGCCAAGAATCCTCACTTACGCTACATGTGAGTACAGTCTTGATCTATGTCACAGGGGCTCTAGGACTAAGAGGTAACAATAGCATGGGAGCTTCCTTGAAGCTGGGCTTATCTAGGTAAACCCCATCGACTAGATTTTGTTTTTTTCAAGGTTGAGACCTTCTAGGGGCTGACCCTTGGGGAAGAAAGGAGCAGAGACTCAAAGAATTTTTTGTGCATCTTGACATAAAATGAAAAAAATATGCTCATCTATAAACTGTATATGTGCATAATTTAATATATGTTTGAGTCAATAGACATAGCATTGTTTTTGGTAAAAAATTTTGGCACCATCTATACTTCTCTAATCAGCTAGATAAGACTAATCAATAAGTCCTCAAATATTCCATTATAACATGGAGGTAGAAACTAGCCTTAGGGGTCCAAGGGGATAGGGAAGAAATTGATATATTTGCAGTAGAGGGCGCTTTATTGGAGAATAGTGGTAAACAAGGGATGGTTAAGATGGAGTCAGATTACAGTAGGCCTTGACAACCAAGCAGAGAAGTTTGAATTTAGGATCATAGATATAAAGCAGGTGGAAAGCTTTGGGATCATTTATCCTACCTCTCTCAGAATACTGAGACTTTGGGTGTCTTATGTATTCCAAGGTCTGAGTTCAGGATCACACAAGTAGCAAGCAGTGTGAGGATTTGAATTGTTTTCTTACTTCAAATCCAGTACCCTTCAAACTGTATGCCATTCTGACTCTTGGTAGGGATCTATGGTTTCGTTGGCATAGAGAACTCCCAGGTGAGGAAACTCTACCAATGCTGGCCGGCACTTTTCTCTGCAATTTCTAGTAAGAGAGGGTTGATTAGAGAGAGCTCTGAAAGGATAGATAACCTTTGAGGGTGGGATGATGAGGGGGGCATATTGTTTGTATGTGTCAGGGGTGAGACTTGGACCCACTCCCTGACTCCAATGCCATCTTTCTCTACTCTATCTCACAGTGCTTTTTAATGTGATAGGCAATAGGAAACTCTGCTTGGTTTCAGAAAGGGCATTTATATGATTGATAAAAGTTGGATAAAAGTGTGAAAAGGAGGAGGAGGATGTTAGATAAATGAACTTATGTTCTGAGGAAAACATACTTAATCTCCTCATTAGCCTCCTTTACCTCCACTGCAGGGAGGTTTTTGAGTCTGTCTCTATACTCATTAGCCTTGTAATCCCCTGTGGAAACCCTGCTCCTCTCCCCTTCTCTGTGGCTGAGGCATTTAGCCTTTGCCACTAGACCTTCTGAAGGCGGGTTCTTTTGAAGGTTCTTGCTTTAGCTAGTTCCAGGCACAAGGTGGCCAGCTGGGCTGCCTGATTTCCAAGTAATTAACTATGGAAGAGAGGTGGACCAGGGGCAGCTCACAGAAGGCTGGGAAATATTGAACTGTGGCCTTGGTCCCCATCCCTTCGGCTTGGTTAAATGGTAAAGAGCTGGGGCCCTAGGACCTTGGCTCATAACACTGAATTGGATCCTGAAGGGGAGGAAGAAGTTCTTACATTTCTGTCTTGTAAAGAGAGAAAGAAAGGCAGAAAGATGACTGAGGCTTTGGATTCTGGGACACATGCCTCTTTTTGGAGCAGATCATCATTATAATAGCTAACAAAGTTTGCAAAGTACTTTACATATATAATTTGATTTGATTTTATCCTCAAAAACATTATAAAGTAGGTACTATTATTATTTATTATTATCATTTTATAAACTGAGAAAGGTTTATTGAATTGCCTGTGGTTACATAGCTAGCAAGTGTCTGAGGCAGAATTTGAATTCAGGTCTTCCCGATTCCAAATCAGATCCTCTATTCATTGTGCCATCAGATGCCTTTAACTTCTTCCTATGGCTCATCTCATCACCTTGTCACCTGCTTGCTGGGAGCAGGGATCTCCCAATAACCTGCCAGAGGGTGAAAATCTTTCTAATCTTTAGCAAGTAGTTGCTGAATACAATCTTGGGCTATGAAAGGAGAAACAGAGAGTTTACAGGAGTTTGACTAATTAGAAATTCTACTCTTGTTAGTGATTTTATCTGCTGATTGATAACTCCTTTCTTGAAGCTTTGTAGGTATGTGTATTGTATGCTAGAATCCTGCCCCTAAAAAAAGTCCTAGTCTGCTCCCTACTTTCCCCACTTGCCCCCACACACAGAGCCAGATACTAGGTTTCTAGACTAACCATTAGATTGTGATCTCCTTCAAAGAAGGGACTATTTCTGTCTTTCTTTGTTTCCTTAAAGCTTTAGTACAGTGTCTGGCACACAGTAAACCCTTAATAAATGTGTGTTCATTGATTGAGTATTTGTGAGGGGCACATGGGGAGATTTTGGGTCATGGTTAAACACACACACATGCGCGTGCACACACACACATATTTTTTTTTTTACTAGAAGCTTCTTATGACCTGTCCCCCACTGTTCTCTTGTATTTCTGTGGCCAGTTTGTGGAAAAGTCTCACCAACAGTTGGCAGTGCTTGGACTCCGTGGGCCTGGTGAGCTCTTTGCCATTCCTTGGACCTAAGCCCAGACTTCTGCTAGCCAGAAATGGAACTTGGTGGGGAGTGTGACATTTCCTGGAGGTGGAGGTTGGGGGAACGTAGGGAGGGTTGAGGATGAGAGCCAGGGATAAGAGAATTAGTGACAATTCCACCTGGCCCCACCCTTCATTCCTGTTGAGCTCAGGAGGAGGAGTGGGGGAGGAAGTTGTTCTGCCCTACTCGCCATCTGGAGTACCCGTTGGAAGGATTCCTGATAGGAAGAAGGAATTCTACCACAGGACAGGCAAAGCCCACATATCCAAGAGGTGGATAACTTTTTGGGGAGTCTGTGACTTCTGTTGAGATAGGATATGGCTTGGTTTTATAAGAAGGAGTGTGTAGATTCCTGACCTCAGAGACTTGGGGATTAGGGAAGCTGGGAGCTTCTTAGCTATATGTGACTTCCAGACTCTTTGGAAGGCTGTAGAATTTTGTTTTACCCAGGCAGTCAGGTGAGATTGGAGGGCACACCATACTGGGTTGGGAGTTCTTGCGTAGTAGATAGTGATCTTAGACAGGAGAGGAAGCAATCTGTGTATAAAAAGGGAATGCCCCTTGCTCTGAAGACTCCTCAGGCCCCTTGGATGAGGTCTAGAGGGTTACCTGCTTATCTTGCTCTGAGCTGTTCTTCCTCTCTTTAGAAAAACAAAATCATTCTGTCCCTATTGTCCAGGATCTTTATTTGTTGGTGATTGGGAGTCCCAGACTTCCATTTTAGGTTTGTTCAATTTAACCTGTCTTCTAAACCTTAGGCTGGTCATTTGCATAAAATCAGTTAGCAGGGTACTTCTTCCTGATGCTGTTTGCATCCTGGTGGCTGGCTGGGGGACATGAGGGTAGGGAAGAGGAAAGATTTGCTTGGACCTATGGGTCTCCCTCATTTCAGATGCTCCAATTGTTTTCTTTTTCCTGATGGGTTGAATTTTCTCCTGTCACATCCTAGCAGGGTCAGGAATTTGTAGAGGGATTTTTCCTTCTCTTATGCAGGTATATGCACTAGGAAGAGGAAGCTGCCCTTGTGGATGGAACTTTCATGCCCTTAGAAGGCCCAGGGTGAAGTGCTCAGTGCCTTTTTGGGTTATTCCTTCATCTCTGTAGCAATTCTGGGAGTCTAGAAAACCGCAGGAATCAGGTCACATTCCTATGATCATGGGAATAGTGGTAGGGCTGCTCACCAAGATGGGAAATAGGTATGCCTAAAACCATTTCATTTGGAACTAGCTCTTGATTAGTGGGAGAGACATCAAGAAGAGGAATGGGAAACTTCTCTTTAGGGATGACCCAGGGTGATGAACAGTAGAAGGATAGGTACCAAATTCTATAGGAATCTCCAGGCTATGGTAGTAAGAAATGTCTATGGCTAATTAGAGCTTGCTGCCATTGATTTTGAAGTTGTAAGTTCAGTATTCATGTGAATCAATTAGTGCTTCTCTGTTCTATGGCCACAAGCTATAGTGTGGATAGATTTAACAATTCAGCGGAATCCAACATGTACTTATTAAACACCTATTCCTCCATTTGCTAAGTGGTGAGGATATGGAAACAAAATGGTCTCTACCTTCAAGGAGCATCAATAAATCAGTAAGTATTTAGCTATGTGCCAGGCATTGTGCTAAGCACTGGGGTTACAAAGAAAGGCAAAAATAATCCCTGCTGTGAAGAATGATCCTAATGAGGAAGACAACCTGTAAATAAATAGGTACAAACAAGATACATGCAGAGTGGATGGAAGGTAACCTTAGAGGGAAAGGCTTGAGCAAATGTTTTGGAAAAAGAGGGGAGAGTAGAATGATGAGAAGGAGCTGTAGGATGCAGGGAAAATTGAGAAGAGACAATGCACTAGCAATTGGAGCAGGGAGTGGATCCAGGAAGATTTGATGGTGGAGGTGACATCTTAATTCAAACTTGAAGGTTGTCCATCTTTGACAGGTGACAACGGCTCTCAAACTAGGAGCTTGTAGGACTGTAGAAGGGTCTGTGACTTTGGTACACATCAAAGTACTAAGCATGATTCTGCCCAGCTGCATTATCTATCTGCAGGGTGGGTACTTAATCACTTTGTGGGGGGAACCACAGCTTTCAGAAAGCAATCTTAATGTGAGTTATCGTGGGAAAAGTGCAAATCTATCTTCATTACTAGAAAAACAAAGAAACAAAAAAACCCCCAAACCTTAGTGTTACTAGACTCCTGAAGTTAGGCCAGTGGCATCATCTTTATATAAGGATGTCATGAGAGGGAGCATGGCCCAGTGCACAAAAATCTGACTTTGTAGTCAGGGAGACAGGGATCTGTGTAAGTATAGGCAAATTGCTTGACCTCTTGGTACATCAGACATTTCTCTCCTCTGATGCTTGGACCACCATGGTGCAGGTCCTCCTCACCTCCTGCCTGTACTGTTGTTGATCTCTCAGCTTTTCCCATTCCTCTCCATGCTTCATCCAGTTATCAAAGCAATCT